AAAAAAAAAAGTTATTCATGTAGTATTGGCAAAGTGTGTTGTAGATTAATTGTATTTAATGTTTAGAGGTGTCTGTCATTTTTCCTCGGAAGAGTGTTTTGGTACCTAGGGTGTGGTGGGCAACTTGCAAGTTGTGATTGCTTTTGTTGTGGTAATGTTTGTATTAGTCAGATGAATTTCAGCTTTCCCTAACTGAGGTGTGGTAACTTGCCCTTTCTGGCTTGTGTTATGCCTACTCATTGGTTATATAATACAAAACTATTTATGTAATAAGAATTAGAACAAGCTATTAAGAGTTAACTGATAATGAGTACAAATAATGATGTGTCTGCTATAAGTTGGAATAATACAGTTTTTAAATGTAATAAGATATTACAAGTAAGAAGGGGTAGGCACTGGGAAACAAAGAACAGGGTAGAAAATATTTCTGAGAGTCGTTGGAGCTTTGCCGGGAGTCTAGCTCAATGTAACATAAGAGTGGAAAAACAGCTAAGATCAGGGACTCTTAGAGAGGAACCTGTCTGAACAAAGGTTGGATTTAGATGGACAGGTAAAAAGCATCCAAAATTGAAGGTTCTTTTTTTTTTTTTTTTTTTTTTTGAGACAGAGCCTCAAGCTGTCCCCCTGGGTAGAGTGCCGTGGCATTACAGCTCACAGCAACCTATAGCAACAATGAGCTATAGGCGCTGAGCCAAAATTGAAGGTTCTTTAAAAGAAAACCTTTTTGTGGACCTGAACAAAGCTGAATTAATATCTATTTTATATGCTTTTAAGTGCCTTCTATTCTGTGAAGGCTTTTTGGTTATGAGTATAGAATTCAAGGACAGCTGGCTCAATTAAAGGGAGCTGATTGAAAGAACTTGCAACCTGTGTGTGGATTCAGGAACCAAAAAGCCCAATGAGTAGTGCATAAGAAACACATATGAATATGATCCCCTCAAAGATTATTTCATTTTTTTCAGTGATGCCATCTGCAGTTTTGTTATCTGCAATGATTCTTCCCTTCGAGGCCAACCCATTATCTTCAATCCTGACTTTTTTGTGGAGAAACTCCGACATGAGAAACCTGAGGTGTTCACTGAGTTGGTGGTCAGCAACATCACAAGGCTTATTGATTTACCTGGCACTGAGTTGGCTCAGCTGATGGGGGAAGTGGATCTTAAGTTGCCTGGCGGGACTGGCCCAACATCAGGATTCTTCCGTTCTCTAATGTCTCTCAAGCGAAAGGGTAGGAGATCTGTCTGTGAAGGGTGAGCAGGTCTCAGCTCCTCCCTGGGCTTCTCTCTTAACAACTTCACATTCCCTGAAGAGTTGCTATTAATGTAAAACATTTTTTGCCATGTCTCTTACTTTTGTAAGTAGTAAAGCCTTAAGTAATAGTAATGCAAATTGAAAAAAACTAGATACAGAAATAATTAAACTGAAGCAAATATATTCAGTCCCTGAGTGATGACATGATTAGGTAGTTATTGGGGCATCTTGATTTTCATGTCCCATTAATACACTAAAATAATATTTAAAAAACAAACTTGGCCAGGTGTGTTAGCACTTTGGGAAGCCAAGGCAGGAGGACTGCTTGAAGCCAGCTTGGGTAATAGTGAGATCCCATCTCTACGAAAAATAAAAAAATTAGCCAGGCCTGGTGGTGTGCACCTGTATCCTAGCTACTGGGGAGATTGCGGCAGGATGATTGCTTGAGCCCAGGAGTTGGAGGCTGCAGTGAACTATCATGATGCCAGGGCACTTAGCTTGGGCAACAGAAGGAGACCTTGTCTAAACAAAGAAAAAAACCAATCCGCCCCATAAAATTACATAGCTAGAGCATATAGTAAAGTGAATTTTTTTTTTATTGCAGTAATTCTGAAATGTTTTCATTCTGTGGAATGCTTTGATAAGTTAGATACCTATGAATCAACCCCCTAAAAAATCTTCCTATAAAATGAAAAAAATGGTAGCACTGTTTTTGATAAGATACTAAAAAGTTACTATTTTATTTTATTAAATATAAGGAAATCATCAATGAGGAAAAAATGTATAACATTATAACAGAACAGATCCTATACTAAATCTAGTGGATAATCTATCATGCTTTGCTAATCATAGCTCTAAGTTCTGTTTTCTGGTTGTTTTTTTTTTTTTTTTTGAGACAGAGCCTCAAGCTGTCCCCCTGGGTAGAGTGCCATGGCATTACAGCTCACAGCAACCTCAACTCCTGGGCTTAGGCAATTCTCTTGCCTCAGCCTCCCGAGCAGCTGGGACTACAGGCGCCCACCACATAGCCCAGATATTTTTTTGTTGCAGTTTGGCCGGGGTCGGGTTTGAACCTGTCACCTTCAGTATTTGGGGCTGGCGCCCTACCCACTGAGCCACAGGCGCTACCCTTATGTTTGTTTTTAAATTAAATACAAATAATTAAGAAGATGGTCTTTGCCTTCAAGGAACCTATAGTCTAATATTGAACATGGAGAGAGTTGAATGATAGTTCTGATTGCATTTTTCTGGTCTATTTCCAATTCTAAATTTTTTGTTGACCTTGTAAAATTATTTGCTGAATTGTAAAATAAGATGCTTAAGTGGTTTTAAGTATAATAATTTTGTACTATTTGTACAAAATATAGCCCTTTCATATCATATGGTTTTTCAGAAAAAGAAGTGGTATTTGGATCCCCACTGACAGAGGAAGGCATTGCTCAGATATACCAACTGATCGAGTATCTGCACAAAAGTAAGTATTGTTCTTTGTTTAATGAAGAATTGTCAGTTTTCTACTGAGAGCTAACTTGTCTTGAGTTAGTGGGTGCCAATTAACTATCAACAAAAGAACTAATCAGTGATGATTTCAGGTGGCATGTTTTACTTTTATTTATTTTTTAGAGACAGAGTCTCACTTTATCATCCTCAGTAGAGTGCTGTGGCATCACAGCTCACAGCAACCTCCAATTCCTGGGCTTAGGCGATTCTCTTGCCTCAGCCTCCTGAGTAGCTGGAAGTACAGGTGCCTGCCACAATGCCCGGTAATTTTTTTGTTGCAGTTTGGCCAGGGCTGGGTTTGAACCCACCACCCTCAGTATATGGGGCCAGCGCCTTACCCACTGAGCCACAGGCGCTGCCCAGGTGGCATGTTTTAAAACATATTTCCTTTTAAGATTCATATTATGTATTGATTTGCTTTATACTCCCAAAGATATATATATATATATATACACACACACACACATACACACATATACAAATACACACACACATATATACATATATAAATTAGATAGTGTTTATGAAATCACATTTAACTCTTAATTTAGAGAGACATTTCTTCTGGAAAAATATATTGTCCCTAAAGAATTGTGACCTTTGTAAAAGGTCTTTTTTTTTTTTTTTTTTTTT